ATACGGTCATTTATTCCTTAATTAATTAGTTATACTTTATATGTTACAAGGTAGAAAAAATTAAGCATTAATGAAAAAACTTTTAACAAATGCAATTGCATTTAGATTCTTGTCAATAATAATATAATCCTTTTATTAAATTTAGTGTGATCATGGCGGAACAAATTAAAAATTGTTTGATATTAACCTATTCGGTTTTAAATCAAATGCAAGTAGAAATTTTTTTTGGATTACAACATGAGCTAATTAGTATGTTAAGAAATAAAGTTATGGTTGAAAAAGTATTTAAAAAAAACCAAAAAATTATATATAAATAAATAAAAAAGTAATTAAGATAGCATCTTGTCAAGTAAACGTTTTCTTTGTTTTGTAAGAATGTTGTTACTAATAGAGAAATTTCGTTCGCTTTGAGTTGAGGTCGGCTGCATTGTTATCAATGCATCGTAAAGTTGATCTAATAAAACGGTTCTCTTCTTATTTTTGTCATACCAATTAAACTCTCTTTTCAAGTTATTTGGTTCTGTTGCTGCTGCATCTGTTGTTAATGATGTATATTCAGATATGCTTAGTTTCAGTCTATCTCGAATAGAAATGTTTGACGGTTGGATTTGATTTGCACTGGATGTTGAAGCTTCCATAGCTCCATTTGTAGAGTTTTTGACAAAATACTTCTTCAATAAGTCAAGTTGACGATTTAAAATGCTTGTCTAAAGAAATATATTGAGGATTATTCAGGTAAAGTATTAAGTCAATTAATGTTCCATTTCTTCGTGCACCTATGCGAGCGCAATTCATATCGTAAACCTTTTGAGACAATAATGTTCCTTGTAGCAACAATTCGTCTAGCAAAAAGTTAATTGTTCCTTCAGCAATTAATAAATCGTTTGATTTACGCAATAATTCTTCTGTCGCGTATTTAGCAGGTTCTAAAACATCAATAATTTCCTAAACTAAAAAATCGGGATTTTCAATCCCGATCCCGATAAATTTCGGGATCCCGGGATTGATCGGGATCGGTAAATCCCGGGAAATCCCGATCCCGATCCCGATAGCGAGAAAGCATAACTTAAACGTATTTTGGCTTGTTGATTGATTGCTAGTTGAACTTTAATTTACAACTTAGTTTGGAAAGCAATGGCTTAAAACAAGTTTTCTGAGTTATAGAGTAAACCAAGGGGAAAACAACTTGATGAAAAAAAGTTTCAATCACAAATCGATGTAATTAAGACTTTATGATCATAATGAAGAATTTATTGGGAATTTATCATCGAAACTTCTTCCCATCATGTTGTTTTCCCCTTAACATAAAAAGATATTTAAATCTAAAGCCCATGAATAACTTCCATCCTTTTGATAATTTTGTTTTCCACCCCAATTCCTAAATTAACAGAAGCAATCAAGACCAAATAATAAGAAAATAGTAAATTAACATTTTTTTATTGCACAATTGCCACAGCCCATCCCGATAGTGGAAACGTGCAAAGACTTTTGTTTATTTTTAGCATTCTCGAAGTGATTTTTCGGGTGAAGCTTGAGGGGAAATTCAGGAAGTGATCAGCAATATTTACTTGAAAAAACACTTTGCTGCCATAAATCATACGAGAATATGTGTTTGCATTAGATATAAACATGGCATGAAGAGAAGAAGATTGAGAGGAAGATGCTTTGTATTAAAAAACATTTATTGATTACATTCTTGAGAATTGAGCTGTACGCAATATAATGAAATATGGGAAATAATTTTTCTCAAATCGCTATGCACAAGTTACATCCAATTTACATTCACGAGTATGTTGATCTATCTCCATTATTTAACATACATACATCTCTTTTGTTTATAAATAAATCTTTTATATTTCAAATTTAAAAAATTTATTTCATATTTAAATTTTCAGAAGTTCATGTAATGTCAGATCGTGTTTATTCACTCTACTTTATATGTGTTTGGTGAATGTATTAAAGTAAATTGTTATATCTAGTATATAATTTAAATCAGTGCTTTACATTTTATTTTTGAACATTGCTTGTGTAATTCAAATGAAATTATCATCAAACCGAGAAGATTGTGAAAAGCTTTTAACAATTTTGTGCATCTTAGTTTCATTTCAGAGCTTTTAACTTTTAAGTTAAAAACAAATTTGTCTTGACGTTAAAAGATTGGATGTAAAATGTCAGTAATATTATGAAAATCCTTGAAGATTTGCTTGAGTAAGGAGCAAGAGGATGCAGTAATGCTTAGGATAAATTGAAAATGGAATTTTGTAATTTTCTTTTGCTTTACAACGTTAAAGTTGCCATTAATTTATAACGGTTAAAATTATTTGAATTTTTAACGGGTTTTCAGGGTGATAAGTAGCACACCCCTCTCAAACTCTGCTAATCTCAATCTTTCTCAAAATATCAAGCAATAAACATCGCTACCATTTTCTCTAATTTAATTATTAGATATCTTACATAGTTCATTAATTAAAATGCAATTTATCATGCATGACTTTTGCTATGTTTCACATACATCCCGGATAAGCTGCAAACAATATTTCATCAAAACAAATACAATTCATCAATTTTGATCTATTTCTATATGGAGATCGCTTCCATTATCAGAATTGTCTCTTCTTTTTATCTTAAACATACACGATTTTTCCATTATATGCTCAAAATGCTTATTCCAGATGAGAATATTCATCATCAAAATATTTTTTTAAGGAAATCATTTATCATTAAATAGGAAATTGAAATTGAGCAAATTGGAAAGTTTGAGGATTGTTTCAATTACTTAATAGCCTTAAAAAAGCAGCGTGTAGGCATAAAACAAGCAACAGCTTTTGAGTGCTCTTGTGTTTTGAACAAACAAGGCCTAATAATTACGAAGAATTATATAAATTTGTATGTTTTGACAATTGGTCCATTAAGTCCTTGCTTAAAGACATCGAAATCCCTCAAGAGTAATGTCTGTGTGCATTTTCATTTATTATTTAATATCTCGGTATATATACATCAATTTATTTTCTCATTTTTATTCGTTTTCACATAAAAGAATAGGGAAAAAGTAAGTCAAAGGATGTCTGAAGAATATTTTGATCTTAAACTTTATAAATTGAAGCTCGTTGTTATGTTTCGCATTTCTCAATAAATAATTTCAGTCAAAAAAACACTTAAAGATCTCATATGTGATATTAATTCAATTTTAAATTTATTATTCATAGCTCAATTTTATAGCTTTTTATTAAATTCCGATTTATGTATGAAAAATCATCAATTTGTCAACAAAAAAAAATAATAAATTTATAAAACAACATTGTTTAATCTGTGTATACATAAATTGCAATTCATATGTACTTTTCAATACAAACAATGGCTTGCCAACCTGTGGGATTTGTTGATATTTGCATAATTCAACCGCACAGAAGAAAAAGAGAAAAAAAAATCATCTGATATGAAAAAAAATTCAATGACCATACGCTTGATTTGTGTTGTCATTATCTAATGTAGAACTTATGTAATTTTAATGTAATTATTCAAAAAAATTATTTGAATGTCAATGAATATTAAATTGGCGGTTGGATGATGAATTTTGCATTATGTTTATTGCTAGGTTAGGTTTTTAAATTGTTTTGTGTCAGCGAAGATCATGGCAAATATGAATTTTATTGTTTTAAAGGTTGTTGATCCAAAACAGAAATGTCAATACTGAATAATCAGACATAATGCAATTTAAATTTGCTTTATTGAATTTTTATGTGATTAAAATGATTTAAAATTCTTAACTGGAACATGATTGAGACTAGATTTGAGTGTACTAGATTTGTGTGAGCTAGATTTATTGCAAAGATTGAAACAATATTGAAGTCTAATTTATTTTTGTAAAACGACACATAAGCCATTAGATTATCCACAACTAGCTTTATTTCTGGTAATTATGAATAGTGGTGCAAAATAAAAAAGGATGATTCTGAGCAATGACTTTGTATACTTGACGATTAAAAACAAACGATATTTTTGATAAAAATTGGTTGACTTATTTCACTCGTGAGTTCATTGTCTGCTTGATGAGTTCAGAGAGAATCTTAAGCGGGTCGATGAGGTGCCTGTTTTACATATAACTTCCGCAAATATTACCTTTTTTAATATCTGGGAGAAGCTAGCGATCTTATACAGCGAAACTTAATTTTTATTCTCAAAAAATTTGATTTTTTCCTCTTATTTTTTGGGGTTCCTCACAAGACACTCCTCTAGCTACAATCAAATGACCAGATACACTACTGTCTACACTTAATTCTTTATTACAGACGAATTATTTTAATAAAAAAGTTTTAAAGCTAATGTTTTGATCAAAATATGACATAAAAATTTCAACACTTCACCTAGATTTGAACTTGACTCCAAAAATATCCCATAAAACTACTCATCATAATTTTCATTATTATGTTAATTAATGTCGTGACACATGAGTTGAAACTGCACACACCTCAAAAGAATTTCACAAAATAAAAACATTCCAAGATTTTCCAGCAGATAACAACGATCGAACATTTTTTTCAGTAGCACAAACATTCACATCATAAGAGTAATGACACAAATTGAGGCAGTTTCCGCTAAATCATTATCATCATCTTATTTTTTTTTTTTTTTCTAAAAACTCATCACAATGATTTTGATGAACGATAAAGACATTTTGAGTAATCATTTGCATAGCAAGAAGCACTTTGCATTTATTTCCCATCATCATAACATTTTATGTCTAGTAAGAATTTCCGAGGCATGAAATGAACCCAAAAGCCGATAAAAAATTGTGAGAATTGGCTTTCATCGCTTCTCTTTTCATTCCAAATATTTATCAAATTATCAAGTTGAGAGGAAAAACCGTTTTTTGATGAAATAAAATTAATTGTGTGATAATTCGCGTAAAGTAACATGATCTGATGAAAATGCTCATATCATTCACACTTTTCGAACTTGTAGAACTGAATGACGAGTAGTAATAAGAATGAGGAAATTACCAATTTCAAAAAAACTTTTTTTTAATCAAATTATTTTTCTTTTACAGATCGATAAACGTCAAAGACACGGCAAATTTATTCCATTTACTGACTTTCTATCACTTGTCAGTTTATTATTTTTTTCTTAATAATCTTTTTTTTTAATTTTTTTTCTCACTTTATCTGTTTTAAATTTTTTCTCACTTAATTAAAGATAAAAATATATTTTTTTTAATATTTTTTTTCATGCTTTGAATTTCACTATTTTTTTTCTATTTAATTCCTTTTCATTTTTCTAAAACAGCACGCACACGCTGTTCGATACAACATAATACATCCAACGACCGACTTAGACTGAACATTTTTTTGCGAATGTAGACAAAAAACGTCGTCCTTAGTTGCAGCTGTAAAAAAGTCTACAAAAGAAAATGTTCTTTTTTTTCTGTTATGCTCGCTCTCTCGAGTTTTTTGGAGAGAGAGACGATATCCAACAAAAGGTGAGATATCAAGAATCTTAATTCGGTGTATGAAAAAAGCTTTCAGTTGATTTAATTGAGTTAAACAAATTTATGATGGAAAAAAATATGAATATCATGCATGCTCGTGTCAATTGAGATTACTTTATTAATTTTTTATTTGATTTATTATTCTTGTGAGAATTTATTGATATTAGTTTTTAGTTTGAATATGGATAGTGATGGGTGCTAGTAAGAGAGTTGAATTGAAAAAGTAATAAGATTAAAAATAAAATAGAATGTTCTGGCATTGAAATCAGAAGGCTTTTGGAGGTTAAACTCTTCGAACATATTTGAGCTCGAAAACACTAGAAATTCGCTGGAAAACGCCTTTAAAAACACACATTTTAACACTCTTTGAGATGTGTGGAAGTTAATATAACAATTTCCTTAAGAAATCAATCAAAATATAAGCACAAACGTAGATCAATTGCTTAATCTTGATAAGAACCTTTCCACCATTCTTTCTTTCTTTCTTCTTTGTTGCGTAGTAAGGAAATGATGAAGAAAAACTTCCGAGTATTTGTAACTTTCAAGACTGACATTATTGCAAACTTATTTTAAAAGAACTCAGGTGTTTGAAAATGATTTAAAAGTAGTCAATTAAAATTGAAAATTGTTTCTAAATGGAACTATTATTATTGTATGAACTTAAATGGAATTACTATTATTGTTATTATGGACTCTGAGTACATCTCTATCATATTTTAGATATTTAAATATTAGTTGAGTCAAAATTTGAACATGGAACTTAACCTGTATTTCTGGAAGAAATATCTTTGCGAAGAGATTGTTCATTTGAAAGTAAGGATAGAAGAACTTGATACACTCCTAACAAGAAAATTTAAGCACCACTATGCTTCTTTTTTGAATCAATGAATTTAAAACAAAATCCATACAAAAAAAGTTGAAGAATTTCCTTAAGAAAAATACAATAAACTTCCACCTCAAGATTAAACTCAATAAAATCATTCCAACAATAAATAAAAACAAGATAAAAAGTACAAAAACAGAAGAAGAAAAAACAATCTCACTAAATCGCTCTTAAGTTTATGTAAACCTTTGCATATCCAATTATCAAAAACCTCCCCTCACTTATTTTATGGACAATTCTTTGGATGAGTGGAATTTGAAAAAAATGAGCTTTCATAATCCAATGTCAATGAGTTTTGGTTCGAAAAAATGTTTTCGTTAATTTCATATTACTAAGAAAGATTAATAAGCTAGAACTTTCGTAGATCATAAAACATAATTAATTCTTTATAAATGATCTATTAAAATGTTACAACTCACCCAAATTAAGTGAAAAATGAAAAAATATGTTTGAAAATTTTGTATTTTTTCACGGATTAAGACAAAAAAAAGCTTTTTTATAACTCGATGACACAAGGAAATTTTTCAAAGAATCGAAATATTACATTAATTAATGACTTAAAGCACACAGAAAAGCAACCTAATTAAAGATTTTTGTCTGTTCTATAACTCAGTAAAAGTTATTCAATGTGAATATCAATAGTTTTCTCTAATTTTCGATTCTTCGGATGATGAAAATTGAAAATTCCGATTTCTGTCATCGAGTTATTGACTAAAGAATCAAAATAACTTAATTAATACAGCGATTAGAAGTAAATGATATCAAAAGTAGTGTACATTTTAGATTTTTACATCGATAAGAATCATAAAATCAGTGACTCTGATGGGAAAAATCAATAAAATTTCGATTTTTTGCTTAAAATTTTCCAAAAGTCATCCAAAGAATTGCCCTTATATGCAGAATGTCTGTTAGCTTATTGAATTGAAAAAGCTTATTGAAAAATGAAAAACTTTTGAGATTTTATATCATTTCATCAATTGATTTTTTTTTTATTCTCTGCGCCCGATGAAAAGTACTCAGGTATGAATAATCAATAAAACGATAAACGATTTGCAGGAGATATATTCCACAAAGCACTATCTTTGGATATAGCATTAATATTAATATTAAATGGAGTATGAATGCACAGTGAAGCTCTTCATTGTCTGCACTTAGGAATGTATTATTAAATCGTAGTCTGAATGATTCAAAACGTAGACAAATGAAGTGAATATTCAACTTTCATTCTCACCTAAAGCTATAATACTTTCATGAAAAGATTTTTCTACTAAATCTCATAAAACTTTTGACGAATTATGAGATTTTATCATCGTTTTTAGTTTTCATGAAAATGGAAATGAATTAGTTTTATTTCTATTATCTCAGTCAGGGATTTTCGAGCTTCATTTTTAGAGTTGTCAGTTTTTGAGTGTTGTGACAGTCATTTAGAGCTGTGAATTAAGACACTTGCGACAGGTTTAATAAACATTTTTGACAGTATTTAGTAGATAGATCCTGAAGGTAACAAAGGAGTGAGTTTGAACTACAGAATGAAGAATTTGATGATTTTTAGACAAGTTGTCTTGGCAGTGATTTTCTGGATTGATTTTCATAACGCGACTTCAACTGGTTTTTATTTTAATGTTCACAAAGTCATAGTGTCGGGGAATAATCCCAAACGACATAAAAGACACATTTGAAAACCGTCTAATATTTAAAAAAATGTTTTAAGGCTCTTTTGCCTAATTTTAATAGATTGTCGACACTATAAAGTGAATTTAATCAAATGAATAGAATCATTGGTTCTCATATTACGTTAATGACAGTCTTAAGGATGAACATTTCCAATTATAAATAAAAAGTACAACTATACACATTCCCAGCATCTTTTAATCACAATTACACATCAAAGTGACTTCAAACTTGTCACTATAGTGCTCATCACCATGAATAGATCAAAAAGAGAAATATAGTCCTAGAGAAAATATTATCATTGCACACGGAATTCATCAAGTTTAATCCTTGAATATCAAAGTGTATGTTTGTGTGCATTTCATATTTTCGACTACTCCTGCTGATTCCATTTTTTTTTTTTGAAAAGCTCTTCAGGGAATTAATGAATATTTAAGATGAAATAGAAGATTTGATGCTTTTTGAAGTGTTCTCGTATAACATATTAAACTTTTTATGATGTCATGTGATACGACATACTTGATGGAAAAACACTGAAATTATGAAACTCTTATTACTTTTATGTTTTCAGGTAAATTCCCAATCTAACATTATTTCAGAGTTAAGTTGTTCCTGTACAAGACTTACTTTGAGTAATGTGATCTTTTATAATTTATTGATCCAGAAATGATGAATGAGGGTTCTGTGGTATAAAGTTTGTATTAAAAAAATTCAATTCTTCATTTTAGATTTAATTTAAATTTTTCTAAAGTTTTTAAAAACTTGAAATTTTAAATTTCTACTGGTTTTTGAAGTTTTACAATTTTTTACTGTTTTTCTAGTTTTCAACTTCTTAAAAAAAATCCAAAACATTTTAAAATTTTTCCATTGTTCAAAATTTGCTAAATTTAAGCAGTTTGTCAGCTTTTCAATTTAAATGTTACTTTACTTAAGTAACAAAGGTGCTGTAAATATTGAAAATTTATTTAACTTTTGATAAATTACCCAGCATTACAGCTGCATTTGCATGAATGACACATCATCCTAGAAAATATGAACTCTCTTTATCCATCATACCTTAAAGCATTTAAATTGCATTTATTATCCCCACAAATAATCCACATTTAAACTCCTGTCATTTCTAATCCACAACTCTGCAACGACCATATAAAAAAAGCTATTTTTAAACAGATATTATTTCTCCGAGCTTTCCGTTGTCACGATAAAGCAAAGGTAAATAAAATATTTCTTTTTGAGAAATAAATCCCTCTTCTAATCCCCAAAAGCTTATCGCTGTCTAAAACAAGACAAAAGAAAATTGTGAAAAATTTTCAATTTTTTTGTTTATTTTCAAAAAAGGAAAATATTTTCATCAAAACAAACCCCAAAAAAGCGCAACAGGTATCAGCATCAAGTCCTCTCTCAATCGTGTTGCCTCAAAAATGAGCATTCAGGCAAAAAGTCTACAAAAAGTATTTTTTCTCTCTTCTCTCATTCACGTTTTGTATCGTGAGTTAATTAAGTGAAGAAATTTAATTGTAAATGTGCTCGTTGAATGATTTTTTGCAGCATGTTTGTACAAAAGAGAAAAAAAATATAGTGTCATTGAGTGTAAGTGATCAACAACTTTTAAATGACGAATAAGATCATAAATATTTCTAAAAAAACTTTATGGCATGTCAGTTGAGATTGAAATGGATACGAAAGAGAAATAAAAGAAGGTTGTGAAAATGAATTTTTCGCTCTACATCTTAAATCATTAAGGGCAAGTCTTTAGGAGCTGATTATTTGATGTGATTGGGGATATTTGTGGTTAATGTGGCTACTGGGTGATCATTTGCAGCAGGAAAAGTGATTATTTGTTTTAAATTCATATTTTTGATTCTTTTTTCCTCGACGCTATATTTTCTTAATTTTTGGATGATTCAAAGAAAAATCAACATCTTGCTTTTATCCCATTCATCACTAATTTCGTAATTGGTTCCCGCTGAAAAAGTGAAATTGGCGGGAAAGATACCCAAATATTGA